GGGGGGCGTGTCTGCACCTATGTATGTGTGATGGAACATGTTTTCCTGCAGTCCGTGCTCCTCTGTTTGGAAACCTGTGTGCAGCGGCCGACAGCCTTCGCAAGTTTGTGGGGTTGGGGCGCAGGAACACAACCATTATGGAAGCTGAACGCAACCCTCAATGCCCGAGCCTTCGACTGATAACCCCCAATAGCGAAAGATGCACGATAGACTTCAAGCAACATCGCCGAGATAAAAGGGGCAGAAAGCAGTGTTTAGGACTTAAAGCCCCACGGTTTCCTCCGGAACCTTCGGCTTTCCGGCGGTTTAGGGTTTAGGGTCTAGGGTCTAGGGTTTATAGAGGGTTTAGGGTCTAGGGTTTATATAGGGTTTATATAGGGTTTAGGGTTTAGAGGACCCTGAATTCCGACGCTCCAGAGCATGGGGTGCGGTCGAAGCTGGAGCGTTTGGAGCTTGCGGGATCCTGCTCTGAATGTATACGGAGCACCGGTTCGGCGGGAAATTGGGTCGACATACTATAGGGGCCTTTATAGCTAGAATAGGATCTGGGGGGGCGGGGGGGGGGGGGCATACTATACTATAATCATAATAAGGAGTCCCCAACACCCTATTCTAATTGTTAGGGCCCCTGTTAGGGCCCCTACATTCGACTCGGTTTTAGTTTGTTTTCACCAGTCTCCCACCTAGCAGGGGAGATGAGGTTGAGCGCAAAGGCCTACTATTAATCGCAGTGAAAATGTCCCCCGCAGGCCCCAATATCAGTGCACCAAAGCATAACCGCAAAACCCTATTGGTTCGAAGCTCTCCCATCGAAGACTGAGCCAGAGAGTGTGAGAGGACGCAACGGCTCGCTCCAGCTTGGCCAAGGAGGAGGTTGGGTGTCGGTGGGGATCGATCCACAATGTTTCGACGTACTTATAGGCAGCAAGCCACAGTTTCGGCATATCTATAGCTATAGGCAGGAAGCCTCGCTATATCGAACTATGTTTTATGGTTTGGGGTTCAAGTTTTGGGAGTTCGGAAGGAGATGGGATTTGGGGATCGGACTTGATCTTCTTGGTTTTCGGCTCCGGAGTTCGAGTCCTACTGTCATCCCTGATTAGTATAGCATACCGTTAATGCGCGCCAAAACCTCTTCTAATTGTTTAGCCCTTCATTCGAAACCTTCGCCTTAAACCCTAAACCCTAAACCGTGTCGGCCTGAAAGAAGCTCTGCAGGTCGAACGGCGTCTGGGAGTGACCTCGTGGGTCACGAAGCGCGCCCACTGGCAGGGTTTAGGGGTTTAGGGTTTTGGGTTTAGGGTTTTGGGGTAGGGGTTTAGGGGTTTAGGGGTTTAGGGGTTTAGGGTTTAGGGGTTTAGGGTTTATCATCCAAGATTCTTAAGTGGGTTGCAAGCCAATGCTCAGATCTCACAGGGCCACACAGCTTCGGAGTTCAGTCGCTTGCATTGAACATGTAGGGCTTGAGGCAGTTCATATGTACAAATAATCTACCCGACTACCTACCGACTTACGTACCTACCTACCGACCTACCTACCTATACCTACATACATACGTACATACATATAGGTATTACGTGCGAACTGTTTGGGGTCCGGTCTGCAAGTCCTTATTGGTTTGGCGCGTATTGTTTTGAACCCCTTCCAGCAATGCCGAAGGCAGAAAGCTTTGGGTGAACGTCAACCTCGAGAACCAGCCAACCTCTAATCCAATACCCCTTAGACGATCAACATCCTTGCTTTGAATGAGCGGACTTGGTCAAAGTGCTACATACAAGTGCTACAGATTATTCACTAGACCATAATAACATGCAATGAACCTTCCGGGATGACAGTGGCAGAGCATCTCCGAGCGACCAAAATTAAGCCCCTCCGCCCCCTGCTTTCTCATCTGACGACCTGGGCTGCCGTAGTGGTGCCGGCACACACCCGCGCAGGCATGTACCTTGACAAGGCTGCCCCTCAACGTGAACCCGCCCGAAAACCCTTGAGTTTGTGCGTTCTAGGGCCTCTGCATTCTGCTATTCGCAGGAGGTCTCCCTCAAAGATGCCTTTTCCTCAACTCTGGACCGAAACTACCTGAGGTCTATGAGGACTTTCTCCTTAGCACCTTGCGGCAGGATCTCGCCATCGCCGTCCGACAGCGAACCTGGGAGAATACTCTCTACACCCTAAATCCTAAACCAGGTTTTTGCAGTTCCAGTTTTTCCTTTCGGATTCGGAGGCATTCAGATGAACGGCCCGGGACCTGCGAGCTTGCAGTTTGGTAAGCCCCTGCAGGACGATGCAGGCTACTGCAAACCTTATTACGATCCTGGGTGCAATGTAAGATAGGTTGAGGGTTGAAAAATTCGACATTAAGTTGAACGTTCCGGGCTAAGGACTGTTGCGATACGACGGGAGTGGCTTTACCTGCGAGGGCTGCGAGCAGATGGAGGACCCTCAGACTGGCCTAGGGTTTGCGGCACTTATGTTTGAGGATCTAACGTGCAGGGTTCAGTGCTCAGGCTGTTTCGGGATTCTGGGAAATAGCTCGATTTTTTGGCTCCTCTTGTTCAAGGATTTCGACGAGGCAATCCGGTTTTCGATAGAGAGTTGAAGGTTGGAGGAGGTTGCTCATAGATGGCAGCATGGAGCCTCCGGATGCTCTTGCTGGGGGGTTTCTTGAATGCCCCCGGTTCTTGAGTCGAGTTACCCTAAAGCCTCTTTGGGTAGGGCTCCAAGAAACCCTACTAAACCCTAAGAACCCTCAGCCCTAAAGCGGAGCTACGGTTCAGGGCACCAGCCCTTCACTCGAAAGCCATGCGCGGATGCACGGCGAGGACGGGAAGCCTTCAGAAAAGCCCTGGCACCCGACACCCCAAAGCGTCTTCGCCACCAAATCCTAAGCCCCGAGGAACGAGATCCTCACCGGACCCTAAATCCTAAAACCCTAAACCCCTAAACTCCCTAAACCCCCTAAACCCTTAAACCCCCTAAACCCTAAACCCCTAAAAAGCCTTCAGCCCTTCAGGAGATGGCCTTTTTGCAGAAGGACCTGCTGAGCCTCATCGAAGGCGCGCGTGGGAGAAGCCCAGAGAGCCCAATACCCCTTAACTAAGGAATATGATATACCTTAATTAAATCATAAGAGTAAGGCCCCTATAATTTAAGGCATATTCCTTAATTGAGGAATATGCCTTAAATTATAGGGGCCTTAAGATTATGATTTAAGATATCTTCCTTAATCAAGGGGTATTGGGCTCTCTGGGGAAGGGTTGCCGGAGTCGGGCCAGGCGTGCTTTGGAGATCGGAGCTTTGGCCTGTGCTTTGCTCCAGATCCTAAGGGTTTAGGGGTGTACTACCTTGGAGTTATAAAAAGGAAGCCGCGGAATAAGATTTTGGAGTATTTTCCGACACCTCAAAGTCTCTATCAAGAAGTCTCAACCATTCTCAACTTCTCGAACCCCGAACTCTAAGACCACAAGGCACCAACGGCCAATAAATGTCAACCCCGTTACCTTGAACCCTAATCCTCGCAGCTCTACTTTGGCGGTCATGGCTTTTGCATTTCAGGGCATGGTTGATTAAAGGTAACGCCGTTCATCCTCAAGCCTAGCATAATATGAACAACTCTGAACCCCAACACCCCAACACCCTAAACCAGAACTCCTAGATAGGGATTCTAGTATCTAGATATCGGTGCCACAAGCAGCTTGCCCACAGGGGCTGTCGGCAAGATGCAGTCGGGGTTGGTGGCGCCGCTGCAGAGCTGGCTGTCCGCCAAGAGTGGCCTGGCGAGATTTGGGGAAACAATCCGCGATTTAGGGTTTAGCGTTGAGGCAGACTGTTGCCAGGAAGTTTCATGATATGGTGGAGTTGCCTCATAGGGTTTCGAGCTCCGGGTTTTAGTCTTAGGGTGTAGTTAGAGCCAAGCGTGCGCAGACCTTACTTTTCTGCATGTTTTTGCGGTTTGGAGGCTTGAAAACTGAGCCTAAAACCTAAACCCTAAACCCTGGCTGCCCTGGATTAGGAGCTTCGAGGACAGGACTTCACTTGGGGGAAGGGGCGTGTCGGGTGTCGGGGGGGGCTGATTCCGTTCTCGCGCCGCCAACTTTCTCTGAAAAATGGGCTCTGGATGCCCACGCCTGCCAGCAAAAGCCAAGACAGTGCTAGAGGTTTTGGGAAGCCGGTTTTCATGGAAGNNCTTCCATGAAAACCGGCTTCCCAAAAGCCTTAGCACTGTCTTGACTTTTGCTGGCAGGCGTGGGTTCAGAGCCCATTTCTCCTTCCAGATATTCCTGGCTTCCCAAAACGCCTGCGGCAAACTACGTACGTGTGACCAGTTAGGGTTATCCATGGTCTTCTGGCTTATCAAGCTGAGTCCTTCCTCCAACTAGCTGAATGGCTCCAGCGGAATCTGCGGTACTGTAGAGGCAGCTTGCAGTCACTTGCACTTCGCTTAAAGTGGGGGTTTCCGAAAATAGGGGGACTCTAATCTAGTACCCTAAATAGTAGGATCCTCACCATAAGGACCCCAAAATAAGGTACCCCCATATTTTCGGAAACCCTCAAGGTCCGAAGTCCTCTCTTCAGGTTTTCCCTGGCCCCACTTCCTCTCGAAGCCCTGGACCTCCTCAGGTGAAGTCGTGCAGATCGAAGACAGCGACCTGGTGCAGCTTGGCTGGAGAGCCCTAAACCCTAAACCCCTAACCCCTAAACCCTAAACCCCTAACCCCTAACCCCTAAACTTCTAAACCCCTAAACCCCTAAACCCTAAACTTGGAGAGGGCCGAGTGGACCTAGGCTAAAAGGGCAAAACTTTGAGGAACCTCGGAGCAGATCGGTGCATTGGACTTTCGGTTCGGGCTACAGCTTGAGAACATAATCTCTCTGGGGGAATGGGTCCCTATGATAGTCCCTTAAGGTCCCCTATAGTAGTCCCAAGAACCCATTCCTCCATTCCCTACTAAGAACCAGTGAGTAATAGGCGGCATCGGGTCTCACAGAAAGCACCCCGACCTCCCGCGTGACAACGCAGAGAGCTTTTAGTCCGCCGGAGCAGGCAGCTCCAAGTGAACCCGCTGGCTTCCCAAGAGCCCGTGACAGGGAAATGATCCGCTGGGCCAAGAAGCGAAAGAACCACAGCACTCCTGTTTGCTCACCAACTCTGCTGCATTCTTAGCAGGCTTGGGACCACTTGCACCATGCTATCTCGGCCCACTGCCCATAGGCTCCCAAAGTAGTTCCTTTTTATGGCTTATATTTAGAATCCTATACGATAATAATCCCAAAAAGGAACGACTTAGGGGCCCATTTATATTTAGAATCCTATAAGATAATCCCAAAAAGGAACTACTTAGGGGCCTATGGGTAGTGCTTTCAGGAACGTCCGCACTGCATCCAGCGATGGCTTCAGCCTGATGCGCTTTGGGAAGGATTTGTCCAAGAAGGACTCCACACGGTTTAGGGTTTAGGGTTTAGGGCGACACGGCTTAGGGTTAGTTCTCGTACATATCTGTATCCCGAAACTCTACAAAAACAGTAGGCCATGACCTCTTAACTGTATAGGGTACAACCCCAAGCCCAGTAGGTTTGGGGATCCCCAGGCAGAGAGTGTTTCGCTCAGGCTCGGGAATCTGACAGTCCCCTGTGAGCGTACGGGGATGTATGGGAGACTCCAGTCTAAGCGCCACAAATCCTCCGAAACTCTAGGGTTCCACTGAAACTGATCGTCTATGTCAGGCTTCAGGGTAAACGAAGCCAGAATGCCCAAATTATTTTTGGATGCAGACACCTTCAACCCGATCCAAAACAGGAGTTGGTGCAGCAGCTTCATGCAGAGCCCCTCCTTCAGCTTTGCAACTTTCCCTGTTTGGCTCATTGCTAAGCTTGCTCAGATCTCACGCCGAGAGTTACCCAGAGACTCCAAAACCCCTTAATTAAGGAATATACTTTAAATCATCTTATTATAATCTAAGGTATATTCCTTAATTAACGGGTTTTGGAGTCTCTGGGTAGTGCAGGAAACACTAAGACCGGAAGATGGCAGAGTTCGCAGTCGACAGTTCTGTACCCAAAACAGGTGGGCCTTCTTTTGGTAGCGGGCTTTGAGACCGGACTGTTCATTGGGCCTAAGCGCTTGGAAGACATTGGCGTTGGCGCTAGGTCTGTGAGCAACATAAGACAATCCAACCTTGGCCTCATGTTTTGGCAGTTTGAAACGCAACAGCGCGCTTAACTTGACAAGCCAGTTTTGCACTGGCAGGTTGCAGCTGTCCGCAACTCTCAGCAGCCTACACCCAGAGTTTGCCAGTACGTAGATGTATTCGACATTGTGTTTTCCCCGCTGGGGAACACGAGGTGCCTAGGATGTCACCGAGAATCCGCAGAGCAGGACTTGACCTTTGAATTTGGCAGTTACATCGCGACTCTACCCAACCTTCCGATGATGCGGGGGGTTTAGGGTTTAGGCTAGTCGCAGATGTTCGCTTAACGGGTGAGGGTTAGGGTTCGGGGTCTTCAGCTTTGGAGAGCAAGTTGTCGGGGTTAAGGTGCAGAGTAGGGCTCTCAAAACCAAGGCAACTACAGCAGTTATGTGGACGAGATCATGGCCAAGTGCACGCAGATTCACGCGGATGCCGCTCGATGTTCAAGCCCGCGCCTGGCCCACCATGCCCTTGCCATGCCAGACAGCTCTAACCCCTACAGCCCAGGCCCCTAAACACCCTAAACCCCTAAACCCTAAGCCCCTAAACCCCTAAACCCTACACACCCTAAAGTAAGATCAAACGCAGTGAGGCCGGGCACCGGATCCGCGAGAAGGCGACCCAGTTGGTGGCGAAGTTTGTGGACTTAGACGGGGGCGACCATCGAATGGAGGTGCAGTCGGTGGCCTAGGGTTTAGGGGTTTAGGGTTTAGGTTTTAGGGTTTAGGGTTTACGTTTTAGGGTTTAGGTTTTAGGGTTTAGGGTTTAGGCCTAGGTTGAGAGGCTTAGGGCATCGACTTACTTCAGGGTTTTGAGCTTAGGGCCTGTGGGCCTTGGGGCAGTTGAGTTATTAGAGTCGTTTAGAGACTCTTGGGCTCAATGTTGGGTTCTTTGTATCGGCCGAAATCACCCAAGTCCCGGCTTTTGTCGAAGTGTCTGCCTCACCAAAGGCAAAGGTGATGATGTTGGTCATTGGTGATGATGAGGAGGAGGAGGAGAGTATGACTTTTTACAAGGCAGGCGCACCTCTGGTGCGCGCATCAACCCTGAACCCTAATCCCTGAACCCTGAACCCTAATCCCTAAACCCTAATCCCCAAAACCCTAAACGGTATAAACCCTATAAGCCCTACTCCTGTTGCGAGGTGCGCCCGCTTCTCCTGCACTTGGGCCATGAGGCTCGCTTCGAGTGTCTTTTGCTGGGCGCCGGGTGAGGATTGGCCATCACGACTCTAACATACTAGGGTTTAGGGTTTAGGGTTTTTAGGGTCATAATTTAATTACGGTCAACATAAATATAGTATATGACAAAGAAGCCGAAAGAAGTTGCTAGAAGGCACGCTGGTAGAACCAGATACCCTAAACGCCTAAACCCTAACCCCTAAACCCCTAAACCCTAAACCCCTAAACCCCTGAACGTCATATCAGGTGAGCAAGGTCGAGCTCCGCTGCGACGTGGAGGAGTTTCTCAGAGACCTGCTGGGACGCCTCGGGTCTCTAAATGGATGTACAGGGTTTGGGGTTTAGGGTTTAGGGGTTTTAGGGCTTAGGGTTTCAGGTTTTAGGGTTTAGGGTTTAGAGGTTTAGGGTACAGGTTTCAGGGTTTAGGGGACATCAGAGTGCATTTCTAGGGCTTCATGGCTCCAAGTATGGGAAGGAGGGTCTGGTCATTGTAGGTGGATCAGAGTTTGGCAAGTTTGCTTCGATACAAAACGAAGGAACATGAATGGTAAGTAAGGGCAAAAAAACGTCAGCTGATGGATACAAGGCTTCAACATTTTGGGGTTGTGTACTTCGCTTGCCGCTGCCGTGCTCAGCACCCTGCCGCTTGCCGAGTTTTCCTTCGGGAGATTCCATCGCCGAAGAAGT